GATGCTAGGGAAGCTTATGTGCCTTAACCTGAACTTCAGGTGGAGCAAAAGGTGGTTTCTCTGGAAATTTGAAATCATAAGGCTCTGCTTCCAATTATATATATATATTGAGATCTTCCTGGTGCAGAACAATCTGGTAATTGACAAGTATTATCTCCTGGTCTCTTTTATAATGGCTTCTAAAAACTGACTTTACTGTTCATGACTTTATGGACAGAGCTTTTCTGAAGCACAGGTGGCAATTGCAAATTTGTCCTCAAAACCACCCAAAACACAACTTGGATGGGATTTCCAATATCTTGCTCTCAAAATCCAATGGCACATGTGGAACCAGCCCTCTAAGATCAGGACCACCAGGGTTTTGATTTGCTTTCTTTACAAGTATTAATACCTCAGTAAGACAAGGTGATAAAAGGATTGTAAAGAGGCCAGAGTCTTTGGTGACTCGTATGGGCCAAAATCTAAGGACGGGGGTGCCTGGGTGGCTCAGTTGCTTAAGCAACTGCCTTCGGCTTAGGTCGTGATCCTGGAGTCCCAGGATGGAGTTCCACATCGGGCTCCCTACTCAGTGGGGAGTCTGTTTCTCCCTCTAACCCTACCCGCTCTTGTGCACTCTCTCTCAAATAAATAAATAAAATCTTAAAAAAAAAAGTCTTCTAAGGATGGCTCTCCTTCCAGAGTTTCTACAGTCATTTGATGGGAGGTGTGACTGTAATTATCTCAAAATCATGAAAAGTTGGCTTAGTTTTGAGATTTCTGTTCAGTGACGGAAGTTAATTTGGTTGTTAGATTTGACTTTGAAAGCCTTAGCAGAAGTAGAAAATATGGAATCAATATTAATTTGGGGGGGGAGATACAAATGAATGACTCACATAGTTCCTGTCTAAGGATTTTCATTCTGCAGAGCTTGATGATTCTGAGCATGTTTTTGAAAAGAAGCAAACAACGAAAACCCACTCAATCCTGTGCATTTAAATGAAATTCTAGGAGGACTGACATGTTCAAAATACTCTGTATCCTATTCTTTGTAACTTCTGGTCCTGTCAGTGTGGCAGAGATAATATGAACTCCACCTATATATAAAATTTAACAAGCACTTTTGAAATATATGTCTGAGGTTGAATAAGGTAATGGATTCTCCAGGGCCCAGAAACCAAGCTGAAGCTGCAGTTGTCCTGGAGTAAAGGGGTGAAGGGAATTGTAAGAAAGGCATCAAAGTTGGAGCCCTGGAACCTTGGAAGATGGATGATGAACCCATGACATCCTCTCTACTTCCCAACGTAAAACCAGTGAAAGGGTGAACCAGAAAGGAAAAAATCTGCCCACTGGCACAGGAAGATGCTAGGGAAGCTTATGTGCCTTAACCTGAACTTCAGGTGGAGCAAAAGGTGGTTTCTCTGGAAATTTGAAATCATAAGGCTCTGCTTCCGATGGGTTTGAAGTTCAAATTTACAAACTCCCTTGGTCTGGTAGACTCCAAGCCAAGAAGTTAGATAAAGGAGCAATAAAATAAATCCAAAAGAGTAGAAAGACAGAAATTAAAAAGTGTAAAAATGAGCGAAAACCCAAAGCAAAGATACAGTGGAGAGGAGTAACCAAACCTGAAGTTGATTTTTAATCTGTTAATAAAATGAACAAATCTCTGGAAAAATTAATGAAGAAAAGAATAAAGAAGGCAGAAATCTACACAGTATTTGGAATGAAAAGAGGCCTTAACTATAGGTAGAGTAGAGAGCTTTAAAATAATAATAAAGTATTTTGAAAGACTTTATGGCAGTAAATTTAAAAACAAAATGGACAATTTCCCATAAAAACATAACACTGAAGCTAATGCAAGAAGAATTTATTTTATTATTTTATTTTTTAAGAAGAATTTTTAAAAACATGAATATATCTATGACTAATAGACTCAATAATAACAAAGCTACCAAAGGGAGAGAAAGAAAAAGAGAAAGAGGAAAGAAGGAACAGGGGAAGGGGGGAGGAAGGGGAAGAGAGAGGGAGAGAAAGAAGACAGGAAGGAAGGAAGGATGGAGCAGACTCCCATGTTTTTTTTTAAGTTTACCAAATATTGAAGGAAGAATATAAATTGAATTCAGTCTGCCAATTCTTGTTTTAGGAACTTTGCATTATGATTATTAACACAATATGTGGTATCATGAGCTAGTTGGGTTTATTTTGGAAATTGAAAGATAATGTATCATTAGAAAACATGTTAGTGTATATAGTAAAAGAAAAAAGAGCCATGGGAAAAATAAACACCAAATTTCAGGTAATGGTAATGGGGGATTCATTTAGAGAAGGCTATACAGAGGTTCAGGCCTTCAAAAGCATCTGTAAGGTTTTATTTCTTAAGCTACATAGTAGGTATATTGATGTTCACTTAAGCTAAGTAGTGGGTCCACAAGATATCCTTTATATCTTTTTGTATATCTGAAGTAGTTCATACTAAAAAAAAGTCACTTGAATCAAGGTGATTCGTCACATTCACAGTTGAAAAGAGAAAAATTATATGATCACATCACTAGATGCAGAAAAAGTATTTTTAACATTAAACATTCACCCATAGTTTGAAAAGACTCATCAAACTATGAATTTCAGTGAACAGCCTTAAAGTGATTAAGGGTATCAACCAAAAACTACAGCAAACATTCTGAAGGTGAAATGTTAGAAGGAGTAAGATAAGAATCAGTGTCTGAAGCATTATACTTGGAAGTCCTAGCTAGGACAGAGACAATTAAAAAAAAAAAAAAAAGTATGAGGATTTGAAAAGAAGGAAACATCTGTCATTACTTGCAAACAATTTGATTGCTTATATAGAACATCTAAAAATATTTAATGATAAACAGAACCAAAGCAATGTTCAGAAAATTATTTGGTACATAATCCATACATAAAAATTGATTGCCTTCCTATAAATCAAAAGCTAACAATTAGAAAATGTAATTTTACAAAAATTTCATTAATAATAGCAATAAAAACTTTTAACATTCTAGGAAAAAATCTAATTAAACATATATTTAGAGAACATGATAAATCTTTATTGAAAGGAATCAGTGGAAAGCCATACTATGTTCATGGATGAGATGATTCAACATCACTAATTTGATATGTCTTACCAAATGACCCTTTTTTTAAAAAGATTTTATTTATTTATTTGACAAGGAGAGAGCACAAGCAGGGGGAGGGACAGGCAGAGGAAAAGGGAGAAGCAGGCTCACCGCTGAGCAGGAAGTCCGATGCGGGGCTCCATCCCAGGATCCCTGGATCATGACCTGAGCCATAGGCAGACAGTTAAAACAACTGAGCCACCTAGGTGCCCCCCAGATTACCTTTTTAATCAAATTTATTTCCAGTTGAAAATTGAGGAGGACCTTTGGTGGAATTTTACAAGCTGCAAGAGAACAAATGACCAAGAATAGCCATATCTATTTTGGAAAAGAATAAAGTGAAAAGGGCTTATTCTATCTAAGTGTCAAAATTTCATAAGATATAATAATTAAAATAGCATAGTATTGCTGCACATATAGTCAAGTACATAAATGTTTTTAACTAAGAGTCCAGAAAAAGACACATTTATATGTAGAAACATGTTATATAACAGAATTATAATAGCAAATCTTACATGGTTAGCCATATAAAAAAATAAAATTAGATACATATCTCATACTTTATACAAAACAAAAGCCTAAATGTGAAAAGAAAAGCTTTAAAACTTTTATAAGAACATATAGGAAAATATTCCTATGGTTTTAGGTAAAATAGATTTTAAGAAGACACAAAAACACAACTCATAATGGAAGAAGTTGATAATAAAATTATGTTGAAATTTAAAATCTTCACTTAACAGAAAGAACACCACAAAAAGCAGGACGCCTGGGTGGCTCAGTTGGTTAAGCGTCTGCCTTAGGCTCAGGTCATGATCCTGGGGTCCAGAGATCCAGCCCAGCATCCAGCTTCTTGCTCAGCGGGGAGTCTGCTTCACCCTCTGCCTTCCGCTCCCCCTGCTTGTGCTCTCTCTCTCTGACAAATAAGTAAATAAAATCTTTAAAAAAGTGAAAAACATGGCATAGGTTGGGAGAAAACATGTACCTTGCATAAAACTAACAAAGGATTCATGTATAAAGAAGCCTGCTGATCAATAAGGAAGAGAAAAACAACTCAACTGAAACATGAGCAAGAATATGAATAAAAGTAATTAACAGAGAAGGAAACCCAAGCAGCCAATATCCATGCGCAAAGATGATCAACCTCCTTAATAATCAGAAAATGCAGATAAGAACTAAATGAGGTACCATTTTACACCGTCTGGGCTGGCAAAATTAAAGCATCTGTCAATACTACATACGTAGTGAAGTAAATGTGGGGAAACGGGAACTTATATATATTGCTGATACAGAATGTAAGTTTATACAACTACTCTGAAGAGCAGTTTAACAATATATACTAAAGGGAAAATGCACATACTCTACAACCACAACAGTTTTATTTCTAAGTGCACCCTATAGCAAAACTCACATATGTGCCCAGAGAATTATTTCTAAGTGCACCCTATAGCGAAACTCACATATGTGCCCAGAGAATTATATTGTGATAGCAAAGGTAAAAATCCTAAATGTCCATCGACGGGAGACATGGATAAATTGTGATATATTCCTTTACCGAAATAGTATATATCCGTGCAAATTAATGAACTAGAGCTATGTGAAGCAGTATAAAGAATCTCAAAAACATAATGCTTGGAAGAAAAAAAGCAAGTTACCATTCCATGGAGCATGGTAACATTTACATAGAGTTTAAAGCATGCAAAATGATACCATCTATTATTTATAGTTACATCCATACAGATGGAGTAAACATATGAAAACATGCAGGGAAATGCTCCCCATTAAATGCAGTACAGTGATCACCCCAGGAAAGACAGAAAAGGAATAGGAATTAGGGGCTCCAGTTACACAAGCACTGTTTTATTTGCTAAAATGAATTCTAGAATGATTTTGACAAAACGTTAAGATTTAGCGAAGGCTGGTGGTAGGTACACAGGGGTGGCTTTTATATCATTCTCTGGATGTTTTTTGTATCCTCAAAATTGTTTGTAATTTTCAAAGATGTATGTTCTCTGTCCCAAAGTTCCCTTTAATGAGAAGTTGACATTTATTCTCCCGCCTTGCCATTTGTAGATGATTATACGCCTACAAAAAGAAATCCAGGAACTGAAGGATGAACTGGCCCTTGTCACTGGGGAGCAGAGGACAGAGGTGCTCACAGACGCAGAGCTGCTTCAGTAAGCCTGCAGACTTGTTTCTGTGTCTTTAACAGTGGAAGTTTGTGTTAACTTCTTTGTTGGCCCTAATGTTACAAATTCACCTCAAAGCATGAAGGTCTCCTGGGACAGTCTGAAATTGCATTTAGGCGCCAGTTAAGAGTGGCGGCTTTCCACGAAAAGCTGGATAAGGCTGGCAGGGTTTTTGCCGCCTCAGCTTTGAGGGAGTAGAGAACAGAGCCTATAAAGGGTGGGAATATCCTTCTCATGCCAGCTGAAGAGAAGGGCTTGTATAATAGCCATGCAATTTTAAAACATACACACCAAACACTCATAAGCTGTGGATCTCAGATCTGAAAGGAATTCAAGAAACGTCCTTTGTATTAAAAAGCATCTTGCTACAAGCACCAATTTATCCCATGCCAATGTAGCTCTCTCCTTTAATAAATAGGTGGCCCATATATTATTGTTCAAACACTGGAAATGGGAATGAAAGCAGGGATTCAGGGCTTTTCTACCAGCAGTGGCATCTTTCAGGGCCTTCTATTTCTGCAGCCATGTGGCATATCGGGGGCATGGTGTGGCTCTCGTTCTCTCTCTGATCATGAGCCAGAGTGGTGGGCTTTCTTTTTGTTTCTGTGCAGCTCACAAAGCATTTGTGGAGTTATGATAATGGGCTGGGCTTAGAAGGCAGTGATATTCTCAATTTCCAAATGAGAAATAGAGCTACACAAGATTTTTCTAAGGGTTTAGTATCATTTCACCTAGTCCTCTCCCAACAGAGAAAATGGTAAATAATAGAGATGATGGAAGTATTTTCTTTAAACTATTTCATGGCTGTGCCCAGAGGTAGGTCTAAAGCTTGAGGAGCCTTAAGCAAGGTTTCTGCTATAATCAAAGCTTTCACTCCTCTAGGATACCATTTTGTAATTCTAGAACACTGTGTTTAATAATAGGAGAGGCTCCTAAGGCTTTCCTTGCAAATTCACTTTGTGGCATATATGCAATTAAAGTGAAATATATTGCCAAAAGAATTTTGAAGAATTCCCTGTCACTCCTTGAAATAACTTGGGATAGCTTAGATACAGAGAAATTTCTCCAAGTTGAGTATTCCTTCCCTTTGATGCTCCCTTCCCCTCAAAGAAAGGAATTACCAGTTATCGTCTTCTATTATACCAGTTATGACATCTATGATCTGAGATGTCTCTTCAGAATTTTGATCTTCAAGTCAGGGTTCAGCCAGGAAAACAAAACCATCCTAGGCCTCCCAACAAAAGGAGTTTAACATAGTAAATCAGTTGTAAGGAGATGGTATTGTAGGAAATACACAGCACCCCAGAGATCAGGAACAGCAGGGGGCCCTACACTCCTGGGTTTGGAGAGAGGATGGTAGAAGCTTATGTTAACTAATGTCTAAGACTAGAGCTGACCAGAGGAGCTAGCCCATGATGAGTGCTGGGGCCACCGAAGAGCCTCAGGTCTTATCAGAGGCGTCATCCTGGCAGGGAGCCCAGGCTTCTCTCTCACACCACTTTGGGTCTTCCACCCGCGGCCCCACTGGCTGAACTGGCCCAGAAACCAGGTGTTAGGAGAGTCAGGGAATGTAGTTTCCAGTGATGCAGGGTCAAAGAGGGGAAAAACAGAAATAGGATCCAAGAGTATAAAGGGAAATGGCCAACATACCAGATAAGTACCAGAGTTTTCTCCAATTCCAGTATAGACATAAACCTCTCAAGGGACTAGAGGCTTCAAGGAATTCCTAGCAGATTGAAGGGTGGGGTTGACCGAGAGCCACCAGGTGCAGCACCGGAAAAGCCACATCTCTGCGTGCTGGCACCCTGGAGCGGGAGAGGGCTACCGTGAGGGTTTGGTAGAGCCCTGATAGTGTGAGCAGTTTGTCCTGTGAATCCCTATGCACTCCTTCTTCCCTCCTCTATCCAGTGTTTACATCAGAGTTTAGGATGGAGAAGTAGGGAAAGGCCCCAGGTAGCTGATGACATCCAGGATAAATTAGGGACCAGACAAGCTCTGAAGCCAGCAGCTGTCCTCAGCTCTGCCTGTCCCCTGTTCCCACTGAAAACAGCAAGGAGCACAAGCACCCACCGCTGCTTAGCCCCTCCTCCAGGACTGGCTGCCCAAGCTGAGATCACGGAGAGTCTAGAAAAGATGAGCTCACAGTCAGGAACAACTAGAAATAGGACTTGGAGAAAGACCAGAACAAGAGCCTTTACAGCTTGGAGAGGGCTTCAGAACTAAACATGATAGGAAGAGTGATTAATATCTTTGGAGATGTAAAAGATGGCAATACATCCATGAAACAACAGGATCTTTATTTTTGTAAGACAGACTCAAGAGGAAATCTGAAAAATGAAGAAATGTAATTGTTGCCATTAAGAACTTAATGGATGGCTCGGGCAGAATGAAAAAACAGAGGGGCAAATTAGTCAGCTAGGAAGAGCAAGGCTAAGGAATTCTTCCAGAACATAAGATGAAAGGGTAAAGAGAAAGTTTAAAAGAAAAGAATCATAAAGAATAGCTCTAGCTTTACCAATATCTAATACAGAGAAGTTTATAAAGGAGAAATAGAGATAACACAGAGGAGCCGATGGTTAAAGAAATAATATCTAAGAATTTCTTAGAACTAAAAAAAAAAAAGACTTCAGAACGAAATGGTTACCATGTGCTAAGCTGTATAATAATGTAGAAAAATTTTAGGACCTCAAAATATAGAAAAGAATTCCAAAAGTTATCAGAGAAGAAAAATATCATTAACAATCAAGAATCTGATTTAGAGCAGACTTCTCATCAACCTCTGAAAACAGGAAACTCTGGACCTCTGCTGCTGAAAAACAAAACAGAACAAAACAAAACAGGACTTTGAATGGAGATTTCTGTATCTAGCCAAATTAGCATTCAAATGCGAACATGAAACAAGGCATTTTTCAGACATACCAGCTTTGAGACAGAAAGCTAACCAACCACCCTAGTCCCTCTCTAGAAGAGATCACAACAGACTACATTTCACAAAAAGAAAAATGCTACAATGTATAAAAAACAATAATGAGCAGATGTTATTTCTTTATGATACTTAATATTGCATTATATTTACATTATATCTTTTACTAACTTGCCACTTCCCACATACACAGATGTTTCTATTTAAAAGTTATTGACAACAATCAAGTTTGCCATTCACAGAAGTTTGGGGGGTAGACTGGAGAGAAATAAGAATGTGACAACTGATTTAAAATACTGACAGACTCTTAGATGTAGTTGGTTTCCTTTGATCCACAGATAACAAATACACACACGTCAATTGAAATGGATTCTCTATAGACAGTATGTAGTGTTGTCATTAGTTTTTCTGGGCACTTGGTTCATTCATTCATTCATTCAACATTTATTATTCATCTAGTGTTCACAAAACTCTGCCCTAGGCCTTGAGAGATTAACACAAGATGAACAAAACCTAGATTCAGCTCTCAAGGGGTTCACAATTTAGTGGCACTGATAGACACAAGCACAAGTAATCACAATGCAAAATGTAAGTGTTATGAGAAGATATAAATAAAACACGAGATTGCAGAGATAGTAATGATTAATTCTGAGCTCAGGGTCCTCATGTAAAATTAGTTGGTGTGCTGGTAAGTAAACTTCCACAGTTCCCAGTGAAATGCCTTCCTTGCTGTCAAGAGAAGTATACTATATAGCGTTACATCTTATTAATAACTTCTGATCAGCAGCGAGAGAGAACAAATGTGGCAAAATGTTACACCCACTCTGCCAAAACAAAGCATAGGGGTTCACGACCATCCAGTATCTTGGGTGCTTGTTCATACTGACGGTGAGGATTATTCAGATAATGTGGGTTTTTGTTATGGTTTTCATTCTATTGTAGTTATAGTTCTGTTTTGCCGTAATTCGCTAGATTGAATATTGGCACAACTTAAAATTTCATCAGATTTAAGAGTCCTGTATCATCCTAAAGTAAAAAAGAGAAATTAAAATTTTCTGGCATGTGGCACTGCTATTTAATATCATTATTCTGTGCTTCTTTGTCTTCTGGGGCCCCTGGACATTTATTCAGGAGTATGAATCAGATCCAGTCTCTCATTGTGCCTAGACTCTGTGGATGGTGAGGGTGGGAGGGGGACAGTGCTGTTGGAGAGAGGAAGAGTCCCATGGCTTGACAGGACAGAAAGGCAGAAATGGGGTGGCTTTGGTCTACTTTCTCTGTCCTGCTGATTTCTAGCTTTAGGCTGACTGGCATGGCAAAAGGACATTCCTATCAGGGATCCTGTGAAGGATGTCAGAAAGCAGATATTTAATAGATAACGTATTCTATATTCTATGTTATGTGCACTGGACACTTTGGAGATGTCTGTTGATACTAGCCCTATCAAATTTTTTGAACTATTTCCTAACATTTCAGTTCTTAATATAAATATTTGTTGCATTGACTTGGATGCTTCAACTGAAGAGGATTGCAGATGTCAGCCTCCAGTTATTGTGATATTTTTAGTTTACATCTTTTTTTTTTTGCCTGTGTAAATTTGAAAAGAGACAGCTGGATGAAGGCTGTACAGCCAAGTTAATGTTTATATGGAGCTTCTTGGGTGAAGTTTTGATTCTGATTGATTCTCTAAACACATACCTCTTTCTTTCTCTGGTAAAAAAAAAAAAAAAAGCCTGTAGATCTCTGGCAAATTTGGAAGTATTATACCCTGGCCCAAGTCTAAATGAGTAGAATATTTTCTGCATAGCAACATTTTACTTCTGAGATGGAATTGAATTGGATCTCATGGGCTCAAGTCTGCCCAAAGTAAACTTCCAGACATCTGGATCCTTTTCTTTTTTCTGTTTTCCTGTCAGCCTTATTGAGACATAATTGACATATAACATTGTGTGAGTTTAAGGTGTACAATATGATGAATTAATATATGTATATATTGTGAAATGGTTACCACAATAAGGTTAGTTAACGCATCTATCACCTCACGTGTGTGTGTGTGTGTGTGTGT